GTATCCATGGACTTGAATCGTGGTGATGTCACCCTAAATATGCTTTATTAACTAGTTTCTCTTCTGTGGTGTCAGATGGGACTTGTAGGTTTTTGGTTTCCATTCGCAGATTCAAATAAATGAAGGATGGGGCTGTGTATATATACAGTATTTGGAATTCACAGAAGGGGGAATGGGCTACTGCCAGGAACGCCTGCCACAATTGTATACATTGCATATAGGTCCCAAGGTCCCAAGAGGGGAGCTCTTTTAGTTAAGAGGTTTGGGTTTATACACCTGGATTTGCCACTCAGTGCCGATTTCATGACTATCGCAACTCAAAGAAAAAGACATTAGGTACTTCTAAAGTAAGCATTTCTACAGCTGTAGACATGTCCTTGATGGCATGTTGCCACAACCATTAGGTCATCTGGTTTATACCCTGATCTGGGGACCCTTCTGTGGATGCCACCAGTGCGGTTGTCCCATGGGTACTGTATTCTTTAGTGTAGTGTTTCTTAAGCAGGGTGCTATTTGGATACTCAAAGCATGGGACACAGTTCGCCCTGTATTAGTATTATGAGTTGCCATGGTGTGGGCACGCTGGCCACCAGCATCATAACAACCAATGATTCTCTGGGGTCAGGATGCATGGAGTCCTTCCATTCCATGATAGTGGCTGGCTCACTTACACTATGCATGACTGGTCCAGGATAAGTGGCATGCATACCCACCCCTATGCATTCAGAAGAGGGATATATTTTTTCACACCCCCGCCATGCTGTTGGCTGGGAAATGTGTGACTGGGGGCCCTGGCATGAATTGAATTCCATCAATGTGGTTGTGCATTGGGCCAGACTCAGCTTCCCCATTAGATTGGGGTGCCACAACTGAAAAAGGTTTTGAGTAACATTTATGTCCCCCCCCCCCCCACATTTTAGATTGGGGTGCCACAACTGAAAAAGGTTTGAGAAACACTGCTCTAGTGGATGGAGCTGGCAGCCTTGTTCTGATGGTTTGATAAAGAGGTGTGTACCATCTTTACAGAGCCTTTTTGGCAGCTTTACTGAAGCAGTTCAGAATCTTCACACATAAATCTCTATGAATATTCATTTTAATTATCTAATCCCGTGAAACGCAAATTCCTACTCACTTTGATTACCCATCTACTCATGGGGATGCTTTTTTTTTTTTAAACTAATTTAAGCAAAATGGAAAGGTTTTTTTGAGTGAAGACTATCACTTTGGTAAAATGGCCCCAGTTGTCTTTACCCTCCACTTGAAATCAGCCCAACTCTCTTGCTCTCCTCCTTTTGTCTGGAGGCCTGTGGTGTGGGACCTCAGGGTGGACCTCAGGGTGGACTTTATCATCACCATTCCCTTTCCTTTCAGGTAGTGGCACTGGTTGCTTGATCCACCAAAGCTGTCTTATTTCTTGGTATGCCACTGTTCCATGGTTGTACACGTTGTTGTTTTTGATACACTGGTTGCCCATTGTGGCTCACTTCCCTACACCACACCCATGGCAAGTATGTGAGACTTTTCAGCCCTAGGCTTCTGTTTCCATGTCGGGCTTGGTTGCTACTGGTCCTCTATACACACACTTACCAAGTTTTAGCATATCGACATTTAGTTATTACCCAATGCCCATTTTAGCCATAAGATTTGTAGGAAGTTACAGTCCCTCTGTTCCCCCTAGACAGATATGCCTCATTATATTACAGGGATAGTGTGAGAAAATGGCATCTGCTTTACAGACAGCCTGCTCATGATGTTGTTTCCTAATATTTGCATTACTGAAACGCAGTCACAAGCCAACAGGCTGTCGTAAATCTGCAAATCTTTTGCCTCTTTTCAAAGTTTCCAGTGAAACTAATTGGACAGATTAGATTAGTGTTTCAGGGCATTGATGTCATAAGACTCAACACCTGCCAAGGAAGTGCTGGCGAGCTGAAGCAAGATTTTTCTGCACAATCTATTCCATCGTGTGTGTGGTACTTAGTCCAAAGATTAATTGGTTCCCTAGAGTTGTACATCCTTGGACTTAGATTATATTTTTTTGGCTGCATATATAATGATCACTAGTGATCCTGTAACACTCACCAATGCAGTTGTTGATTAGCCCTCCGGCTGTGAAACAGATTTCACAGAACTATTCATCTTGCAAAACTGTATTAATTTGTTCTGTGCCAAAAGGCGACTAAATCAAATGTTATTAGGCCATTTTCTCTCCAGGTTGCATGCTATTCATTATCATAGAATAAAGTGCATCAGCCTACCCCTCCCCTCCACCCTGTTCCTCTTTAATACTACTGTCCACCCTCCTCAGATGAAGCTTTGGTAGAGCTCTGAGATGCCACATTACTCCTAGTATGTTGAAATGTGCTAGGCACCTGGAACCCAATTATTTTGTATAGCTGGCTTGCATGTCATGGTTTCCTTTGGTGGTTCTGTATTTACTACCTTTAAAAGTGATTCTAAAAAGGAAAGATTTTTTTGTAAAAAAAACAAACCTGTTATGCTTACTTGCTCTGTGCAATGGTTTTGCACAGAGCAGCCCTGACCCTCTTCTTTTTGGGTCCCCCAGCAGCGGTCCTGGATCCTCCCCCCTGCTGATTGCTCCCCAATAACAAGCATCTTGCTATGGGGGGAGGACTTGAGTAAACTTGCTCCTGAGCTGTGCATGTCCATTCGATCATGGCATGTGGCTCAGCCCCACCCCCTGCTCTCTCCTCATTGGCTTCCTAGCTGCATGACAGCAGCAGGACACAATGGCTCCCACTGCTTTACGAGCCAATGAGGAGAAAGAGACCCGATGCTCTCATGCACATCACTGGATTGAGATGGGGCTCAGGTAAGTATATGGGGGGGAACTGCACTCAGAAAGGTTTTTTTTTTTTTTTCCTTATTGCATAAATCTGATCAAAATAAAAATCCTTTAGCCTTTAGAAACGAAACACTTTAAACCAATAAAACCATTGAATGAAAAAGAGTAAAGCGCATCAGGAGAATACTGCATTGTGGCCAATACATGGAGGGGATAATCATAAATATTTATTAATATAATCAGCTCCATCTAGTTGGCCTAATGCAGTAATTTCCAGGTTCACTCTATATGAATGAATAACATTGGACCTGGAGAGAGAATGGCCTAATCTCAATTTTGTCTCCATTTGCACAGAACACGTGTACATACATGTTTTTAACCACTTCCAGTCCGGACACTTTTACCCCCTTCCTGTCCAGGCCAATTTTCAGCTTTCAGCTCTATCACACTTTGAATGACAATTGCGCGGTCATGGAACACTGTACCCAAATTAATTTTTTACCATTTTTTTGAGACAGATAAAGCTTTATTTTGGTGGTATTTATTTACCACTGGGATTTTTATTTTTTTTGCTATGTAAATGAAAAAGTCCAAAAATTTTGAAAAAAAGTGTTTTTTTACAACATTTTGCAAATAAATAATATTTCATCATAAATATTGGCCAAAATGTATTCCATTATCTTTTTAGTAAAAAAAAAAAAAAAAAAGATCCAAATTAGTTTATAACCAAAAATTATAATTTTTAAACTTTTTTTTCCATTTTTATATTATTTTTTTTTTTTACACATACTGTCACCTTAGCAGTAGCAGTACAGTGTCACCATGGTGACACTGTACTACTTGTGGGGGGTGATGAAGATTTTTTTTTTTTTTTTTTTTTTTTTTTTTTACACATTGCTTTTACATCCTATATGGGTGTAAAAGCAATCATTTCGCCTTCTCTCTGTCTGCATTCTTGCACTCATTGAGAAGTACTGAGTGAGCTGTGATTGGTCACAGCTTGTCACATGGCACAAGGCTGTTGTGAATAGCCTTGTACCATGTGACCTCTGTGATCATTCACAGATTTCACACGTAGTAAGCAATGATGTCACAAGTGACATCTTGCTTACTACTTTGCATGTGATCACTGATTGGCCAATCAGTGATCACATGATCGGGACCTCGTATAGAGGTCCCATCCGACGATCGGTGTTTCACTGTGTCTGGAGGACACAGTGGGCACCGGATTGCGGTGCTGCGCGCTCCCAGGGAGCGCGCACAAGCAGGGTGCGGGAAGGCCGTTTAGAAACGGCCACCCGACCCTGCACTGCCACCGTCCGGCCGTTTATATGCAACGGCCGGTCGGGAAGTGGTTAAAGGATGAACAGCTCTGCAAATTTGTTATAAATACGACCCTTAGTGCCCATCCTCAAGGGTGGAATTAGTACCACAAATGTCTGCCGTGCTCCCAGCTGGACTTATTGAAAAATGTAAAATCCCCTTGATCATTAAATTGCACATTCAGTATACTGTATAAGGTATCACATTAAAGTATTTTTTTTTTTTTATTAAAATAATTCCCTCTCATGACACAGAACAGCCACAAAACAAATAAATAATTTCAGTGAGACAGAGGCACATCACAAAGTACACAAGGTTACACATACTGCTGATGGATACAGTGGAGCGCAATCGATCACAGTTCAGAATAGTAGATTATAGAGAGAGCGCGGAGTACACAACTTCTATTCTACTACAGAACTGCCAAGGCCCCGAATCTCTAATAGTGCCTGTACCTTGAACTTTCCAGTGTAAAGGGTTGGTCCTTCTAATACTTTACTGGCCAGGCAGTGAAGGGTTTAATGCCTAGAAATCTTGTAGAAAGTTATAAGGCAAAGAGGGAAGACTGTGCAAATGGGAAATAAGGTGTCAGTGACACAATGATATACAGCATCTCACAGGTAACAATAGATATAAAATTCTAAAAAATAAATAGTAACTAAAATACAGTGCTTTTCCTACTAAAAAAAAAAAACCAAAACAACAAAAAACACAGAGGTTAAAGGAACAGTCTGAATACAATAGTGTTCGTTTACCCAGCTCCCGGTTTAACATAATTCCTATCTACAGCGAAAAAAAAAAAAAAAAAAAAATGTAAACATTATTGAAAGTGATGTTGTATATATGGATGGGAACTGCCGCATCATCTTCATTAAATTTGTATAATTCGTGTCTGACACTGTGTGAACAGTTCTTTGAAGTCATTTGGTAGCTGGGCTGGAACGGTTGCCGGCTCTGGAGACTTCTGCACTTTAGCCACAGCAAAATTAATCCCTTGTGTGAGTCCAGCTTGGGTGATGTTTGCCACTTGGACTACAGAACTGCGGATCTTGGCGAACGGAGAGACGACTCTGCTGCTATTGCTGTCAGCTGGAGAAGCTGCAGATCCAGGGCTTGACCGGCCAGAGGCTGCTGAAAGGTCTACAGACAATCTGGAGCCAGTGTCGGTTCCAGATACCTCAAGTTGTGAAGGCCGAGAAAGTTGCTCTGTTTCTGGGTCCATTACAGTAGATGTTTGAGGGGAATTATTGCTCAATAATACATGGTCCATTTGTTCTTTAGTAACACCATCGCCACCCTTGCAGTCACCATCTTTGGTCTGGGCATCATGGACAAACTGGTGGCAGTAAGCATCAATTGGGGTCCCAAAATCTATAAGAATGTTCTCCTCGGGTGATGCTTCACACTGGGTTACTTGGATCTCAGTGGGAATGTGAAGATTTACCTCAGCGCTACTGACAGACTGTGATCGGCTGCCTAATCGTGAGCCAGAAGCAATGATACCACAGCTAGGTAGTACATAGTCCACCTGCCCGATGTTCTCTATGGAGCCTATGACCTGCCCATCATCATCTGATTTAGGAATATAATCATCGGAATGAAAAGAGTCGCTGTCTGATGAGAGTTCCAAGTCTGACTCCATGTGATCTTTGGTCTCTGTGCTGGGATTTTCTAGACTGCTATCAGATTTCCACAGGTTGACCTGCAGGTTGGGTTTAAGGAAGCCCTTCACTTCTGCTTTGTTAAATGTACCTAACTTTCGAAGACTTCCAATGTTGGTTTGTTTGACTTTCTGGTTAAGGGACGAAAATTTACTCATCAAGAAGTTCTTGCTCTGAGCGAGGCCCATGGTGTTCATCCCTAGTTTCTGGCTTTTGGAATTTATCCCCATTATATCCTCATGAGGTTTGCTGCTCTTCCTGCAACAAGACAAGACAGTCACCATCTGGAGAACATACAATAAATAAACCTGCATTACTTGTACAAAAAAGGTCAGCTTGCTGTCTTGGGACTTCCAGAGACACTGCAAAGTGAAACAAAAAAAAGCGCACCAACCTTGCGCATTACCTCAGTAAACTGTGATTTTATTAAATTGAAAAGAATAGTCACAAACAACGAAGTAAATCAAGCATATAGGTCCTCAAAGGAACTTTAGGAGTGTAGAACCAGTGCGAGTCACATCGCAGGGGTAGACTCTCAAAGTAAGGCTGACGACTTTCGAAGGAGGTCCCTTCTTCATCAGAGCTCAGCCCCATAGAAACATAATTATGCCCCACACAGCATGCCTAATCCCTCCAGTATCAGACAATGGACTGAACACCATAGTAAAGCTGGTCTATGAGGTTTCACATTCTACCAACCACCACAGTTATTTTGCACAAATCCATCTCCTTCAGATACATATCATCAGCCACCTCCTCACCTCTCTAGTTTCTTCTCAATTACAGGGACGTCAGACTCCATGGCTTGTTTGGTAATCCGCAGCATCTCCGCTATACACAGCAGTGTGTCTGTAAATCAAACAGATTCTGGCTGAGACCGTAGAAAGATGTAAGTAAAAGGAACTGTACCTGGGTTTAATAAATATGAGTTTAGTATAATTTTCAATGTGCTGATATTTTGAGCTATTATTTTAGTGTTTATGTTTGGTATAACATTTCAGTCCACTACAATCACACGGTTACTGCTTAACAACTGCCATGATATTATGACCAGCCACATAGGGAGTGAATTGTTTTCAGCCATCTCATGACTTGTACTGTGAGAAGAGCAGTAAAGCACAACCATTGTGTAGTGCTTAAAGAGGGAAGTAGGATGCTATTTATTTTTAATATGCCCCCCCCCCATGTACATATATTATTACAAACTGCATATAGAAAATCCATACCAAATCCTCACAATAATCCCCAAATGTGCATTACAGATACATCAAGCTGATCTACACTACACTACACTACACCACACCACCCTTACATGGGTTCAGCAGCCACATATGGGTTATGGGAATAATGCCTTTGCTGTGTCTCATCTACTACCCTGGTAACCAGCCACAGAGCGCAGTAACCCAACCTTTAGAGTCACATATGGTTCTCAAACCCTTTAAGGACCTGGTTCTCTGCCCCACTTTCCATAAACCTTGGTTTCTTAGCTTTATAGCATATCTACTCATTGGTTTAAAGGTTTTCCTTTTTGTGCCATGTTTGATTTGGCTTCTTGACCAATGTGAGATGTGATTCATGAGAGTCCATAAACTATAAGCTACATTAATAGGCGTAAGCTTCAGAAGGGTCAGTCTTAAAAGATGCATCTTTGTATAGAGAACATATGTACACCAATATCTTACAGGTCCTCTTTGGACTGCAAGCTCCCATAAGCCAGCCACCACCTTCTCTGTCTGGCAGTTTTATGTAAAGCTCAAAATATTTTGGATTTACCTTTTCCATCTTCTTCAGGGCTCCGGCCACAGCCCTCAATGTGTGGAAGTAGCCGCTGTTCCCCATGTATCTGTAGTGCAGCCGCATACATGAGAATTTGGGCTTCCCAAAAAATGTAGGTTCGGGGCCTGAACCAGAGGAAAAACATTACAATATGGCAGCAGGTTGCAAAAGACACCAAGGAGAAGACAGAAAAAGATGGATCTGGACGGAGAAGCAATAAAGGAGACAAGACAGAAGCACAAAGAACAACTGAAGAACAGGGCACTAGAAAGAAAATTTGGATGGAAGCCGAGTGAGACCCACATCTCCGCACAACAGCAGAGAAAAGTCTCAGCCTAAGCCAGTTAATAAGAGCAATTTATTACATTTCTAGATTACATCCAGCAACACAGGACTCACCAATCTCAATCTTTTCCAAGTCATCCAAACTTAAGCGCTGATATTGATTCACTTTGTCCACCTCGTCATCATAGCTGAACAAAAGCAGAAACAGAGTTAGCAATGGGCATAGCCATATTCTCCCAAAATGGCCCCCGCTCAATGACACTAGACATTATGAGAAATAGAAGGGCGATGAGGTTTGTTTGTCACTTACTAGGCCACATAATAAGCACAATTTGAAAGCAGCAGGAGGACTTCAACATCTTTGTGGGTGGCATCAATGAGGCTACAAGAAAATGAGACAGTTAGAAGAACACAACGGAGCAATTACTGGTACAAAGATTTCCCATAAAATAGGACTCCGCGCTAGAGGGAGGAGCGCATCCCGCCCCAGACTCCGCGCTAGAGGGAGGAGCGCATCCCGCCCCAGACTCCGCGCTAGAGGGAGGAGCGCATCCCGCCCCAGACTCCGCGCTAGAGGGAGGAGCGCATCCCGCCCCAGCTCCGCGCTAGAGGAGGAGCGCATCCCACCCCAGACTTTGTCCTAGCACATCTCCTTCATATCGTATGTATGTATCTTTGTATATGTGTATATGCATGTGTATATATGTATGTATATGCATTTATAAAAACTACAAAAGATTGCACTTTAAATAACCCCCTCCAACCCCTCATCTTATAACAAGTAGAGGAGGTGGAGCTTTGCTCCCAAGGCATCTAGCCCTGGTTATTTACTACTTGACCTCCATACAGGCTGGTCATTAGCTCTGAGGAAAGGGATTCGTCCCCGAAACACGTCAGCCATTTGACCGCACTGACAGTGAGAACACCTTGCCTGCCGTTGTGGCCATTGTCATTTTTCTATGCTTTTTAGATACATGCTTCGTCTGTATGTTATTATTTTTTCACTCCTTACAATAAACCTTGGATAATGCACTAGGTGTGTGCGCCACCCGTTTTCTCTTTTTTCTACATCTCCTTCATACTCCACACTAAAGAGCAGAGTACATTTTCCCCCGACTCCATACTAGAGGGCAGAGTACATTTCCCCCCTGACACCACACTAGAGGGCAGAGTACATTTTTCCTCGACTCCACACTAGAGGGCAGAGTACATTTCCCCCCTGACTCCACACTAGAGGGCAGAGTACATTTTTCCTCGACTCCACACTAGAGGGCAGAGTACATTTCCCCCCTGACTCCACACTAGAGGGCAGAGTACATTTCCCCCCTGACTCCACACTAGAGGGCAGAGTACATTTCCCCCCTGACTCCACACTAGAGGGCAGAGTACATTTCCCCCTTGACTCCACACTAGAGGGCAGAGTACATTTCCCCCCTGACTCCACACTAGAGGGCAGAGTACATTTCCCCCTTGACTCCACACTAGAGGGCAGAGTACATTTCCCCCCTGACTCCACACTAGAGGGCAGAGTACATTTCCCCCCCCGACTCCATACTAGAGGGCAGAGTACATTTCCCCCCTGACTCCACACTAGAGGGCAGAGTACATTTCCCCCCTGACTCCATACTAGAGGGCAGAGTAGTACAACACTAACTCCAAGTGACTGGGGCAGAAAGTAAAGCAGCTTGTGAAGGCAGCAGGATACAAAGTAAACAAAGGGACTTGTCAGAGGGTGAAAGTGGCTGTGCAGATTATTGTGCATCAAGGACAAGATAGGCACAGGGGCTTCTTTAAAGTAGAACTATAGGCAAAACATTTTTTTGGAGGATTATAACCACTGTCTGTTTATTGATTATAACCACTGTCTGTTTATTTTTTGCCATCTGTGTCCCATTGGGGAGATTTACCTTCACTTTCTGTCCCATAGCCAAAACGAGAAGTGAGAGGAACTCCCTTGGAGACCCCAGGTCACCAGATCTAGTGTCTACACTGGAAAATTTCCGCTCTGGTACTTGTCTGAGGACAACCAAGAATTTGGGATTTTTTTTTACTTTCAATTTTGATGATAATGGTAAACAGGACAAAAAGAGAGGGTGAATCTCCCTAATGGAGGCACAGACTCCAATAAAAACCTAATAGGTGTTCTAATCCATCTCCACGCCATGCAAAACTTTAATAAAAGGAAAAAAAAATTTTGCTTATAGTTCTACCTTAACTCACATTGTAGAGGCAGGACTGCCACACCATATGAAAAGAAGTGTTAAAAAGAAATATGAATGCAATTTAAAGACTATAGGAATAGCAATAGGACAGCGAAACATGTCAGCTGTGGGTAGGCCTCACCCAGGGAACAGACAATGTGGAGCTGGGAGGACACTATGGCTAATAGGGGAATCCACTATATGACTACAGAATTAACATACAAAGGTTCTTTGCTGTCTTTGCTCTTGCTTGATAAGATGAATAATTAACAGTAGCAATCACAATAGGGTTTATGGTCTTCGGTGTGGGCAGCATCATGTCAAGGTGAGTTCTCTGCTGCAGACACACCTGGGGTCGCAGTCGATAAGTGCCCAGCCGCCGTGGAACTTTTCGCTGTCTGGCAAGAGGATCTGCATGTAGTTCTGAAGCAGCTGGCTGATGAGCTCTTGGTGGTTCCTCTGGCTCTGTCTGTGGAGAGCCTCGTGTTCCTTCTCTTTAGTGAATATGGAGTAAAGATCTTCTGTCACTGGGACCCCCTGCATCAGATCTACAGAAAACACAACCAGAAATGAGCAGCTATGTTATATACAGTCTGAATGTGACATCAAACCTATACCATAGCAAGACTTAGTGCAAGCATCACATAGGTCACGTGAAAATCAAAAGGTCACATGTACATGACACACACACCTAATCAGACTTACACAGCTCTGTGCACACTTACCTATCACAGCCTGTCGGTATGCATCTTTGAATCGGTTTAAGTAGTATCGGTTGGCAGAGTTTACTCCGTCTTTCATTACACCGGCCAATTTCCTCTCTCCAGTGCGTGTGAAATCCCCCTGTGAGGACATTCGATATTAGAAAAAAAAAAAAAAATGCCAACAGCAGCCAACCTCCCCAAACATACAAGAGATCAATGTCCCTTCACCGTTATGTTGGAGGGGATCTGGAGAAATAGGTACGGTATACCATATATGGTGGGGATGCCCAAAAATCCAGGTATTTTGGAAGACAATAATCCATTTGATAGGAAAGTTAACAGAAATAGACATAAATCTAGACCCAGAAGTATGTATTTTGCATAATATGGATATAACAGTAAATAAATATAAAAAATCAGGGATATGGTACTATATAAATGCTGCAAAAGCTCTGATACCTAAATTCTGGCAGAGAATGGAAGTGCCGAAGGAAGAGGATTGGATAGAAAGAGTAGAGCAGATTAAAAAGATGGAAAAACTCTGTCATAATCAAAAAGATAAGATGGAGGCCTATTATGGGAAATGGGAGAATTGGGAAAGAGCTAGATTATACATGAAGTATAGGAAAGAATAAAGAAAATAATAGAAAAATTTCACTTGCTGTTATAAGAAGTTGCAGAGAAAATGAAGGGAAGGGAGATGGGGATAGGGTGGGGGGAGGAGGTGGGAGGGAAATCTGGAATAGAGCAAATAAAGTAGAAATGTTGGATATTATAATGTATTTTTTATATATACAATATGATGATGAAATGTATTTAAAATGGAAAATTAATAAATATTTAAATTATAATAAAAAAAAAAAAAAAAAAAAGAGATCAATGTCCCTCTACACCACAACTGGTCATCCTTCCAGTACAGAAGATCAGCGTCACTCCCCTATATTGCAGGTCAACCCCCAGAATACACAAGATCAGTGTCAATCTGCTCCACTGCTGGACAGGCTTCTCACACATACAGGTTTTATTTACAAAGCAAACATATCAGGATACTTATTTTAAAAAAATCTGATGGTTATATTTTTTTTTTTTTAGCAGAGTCCAGTGAGATTTGAAAAAGGAGTCGCATGGTAAAAAAGAAATCTTCTTATCCTTGTCTTAAAGCATTGCGAATTGAGCCCATTGTGAGTACATTACATCATACAGAGGTGAAGGTGGCCCCAGTTTTATACCAGGGCAGATGTTCACATAAAACCACAAGACATTACTGGGATGGCTACACACCAATGTCGACAAGACAGTTTATATAGTTCAGGAGTGACATCACCGCTCTCCAGATAGAAGTTATTATAGAGAAGTAACATCACCGCTCTCCAGATACAATTTAAAAAATGCAGGAGTGACTTCCCTGATCTCCAAATACACTGCTCAAAAAAATGAAAAGAAGCATTTTGAAAACACATCAGATCTCAATGGAAAAAAAATCTCATGCTGAATATCTATACTAACATGGACTGGGTAATGTGTTAGGAATGTAAGGATGCCCCATCATTTGATGAAAATGATCGACCTACAGAGGACTGAATTCAAAGTCGCCCTGAAGATCAAAGTGAAAAAATGATGCAGCAGGTTAGTCCACTTTGCTGAAATTTCATTGCAGCAACTCAGAATGGTCCTCAGTAGTTCCTATGGCCCCCACGTGCTTGCATGCATTCCTGACAACGTCGGGGCATGCTACTAATGAGAGGATGGATGGTGTCCTGGGGTATTTCCTCCCAGATCTGGACCAGGGCATCACTGAGCTCCTGGACAGTCTGAGGTGCAGCCTGGAGTTGTCGGATAGACTAAAACATGATATCCCAGAGGTGTTCTATTGAATTTATGACTGGAAAGTGTGTGGGGGCCATTCAATGGTATCAATTCCTTCATCCTCCAGGAACTGCCTGCATACTCTCGCCAAATGAGGCCGGGCATTGTTGTGCACCAGGAGGAACCCACTGCACCAGTGTAGGGTCTGACAATGGGTCCAAGGATTTCATCCCGATACCTAATGGCAGTCAGAGTGCCATTGTCTAGCCTGTAGAGATCTGTGCGTCCCTCCATGGATATTCCTTCCCAGACCTTCACTGACCCACCACCAAAACGGTCATGCTGAACGATGTTACAGGCAGCATAACATTCTCAATGGCTTCTCCAGACCCTTTCACGTCTGTCACATGTGCTCAGGGTGAACCTGCTCTCCTCTGTGAAAAGCAAAGGGCGCCAGTGGCGACCTGCCAATTCTGGTGTTCAATGGCAAATGCCAATTGAGCCATATGGTGCCAGGCAGTGAAGCCATTCCCTTCACTGACCCACCACCAAAACGGTCATGCTGAACGATGTTACAGGCAGCATAACATTCTCCTCTCACCATGGCCAGCTGGAGGTCAGTTTTGTAGGGCCCTGGCATGGCTTCTCCCTCCAGACCCTTTCACGTCTGTCACATGTGCTCAGGGTGAACCTGCTCTCCTCTGTGAAAAGCAAAGGGCGCCAGTGGCGACCTGCCAATTCTGGTGTTCAATGGCAAATGCCAATTGAGCCATATGGTGCCAGGCAGTGAGCACAGGGCCCACTAGAGGACGTAGGGCCCACTAGAGGACGTTGGGCCCTCAGGCCACCCTCATGCAGTCTGTTTCTGATTGTTTGGTCAGAGACATTCACACCAGTGGCCTGCTGGAGGTCATTTTGTAGGGCCCTGGCAGTGCTCATCCTGTTCCTCCTTGCACAAAGGAGCAGATACCGGTCCTGCTGATAGGTTAAAGACATTCTATTGCCCTGTACAGCTCTCCTAGAGTAATAGCCTGTCTTCTGGAGTCTCCTCCATGCTCTTGAGACTGTGCTGGGAGACACAGCAAACCTTCTGGCAATGGCACGTATTGATGTGCCATCCTGGAGGAGTTGGACTGCCTGTGCAAAAATCCATTGGTAATCCCTCAGATTTCATGATCGCCTTGCACACAGTCAAGGCACCCAGTTCCAGAGGCCAGCAAAACTACCCCTAAACAACATATTTTATTACCGTAGGTACTGTGTTTTGTTCTCTGTAGGATCCAGGTATCGCCTCATGCTACCAGTAGTGACACTGACCCTAGCCAAAAACGACGAGCAGGGAAAAAAAAGTAAATGGCCCCCACCTGTAAAACCATTCCTGTTTTGGGGATCGTCTCATTGTTGCCCATCTAGTGCACATGTTGTTAATTTCATTAACACCAAAGCAGCTGAAACTGATTAACAACCCCTTCTGCTACTTAACTGACCAGATCAATATCCCAGGAGTTTAATTGACTCGATGCTATACTCTGATTAAAAAGAGTTTTTCTTTTTTTTTTTAGCTGTGTATATAAAAGTTATATTTTACAGCAGCAATGACATAAGCACAGTATACACTGCAAACACCTATATGGCAGTGTGATGTGGGTGACACTGTAAAAGACAAATTTTGGAATGGTAAATATGGAAAAGTGAAAGTTGATAACAGACCTTCAGAGCGGCTGTGCCTGCATACTGCTTGCTTATGGAATCTCCGTTGTTTGCCCACATAATTTGGTAAAGTCGGTAGCACTTCATTGGCAGCAGCTGCTCTGGGGGCATCACACCAAGTTTCTTCAGCTGGGAGTACAGATAAGAAAACTTATTACTGCTTCACATTACCTGTAAAAATTATACATTAATAGAACATACACCACCTAATGCTCCACACCAGACAACTGTGAGGAGAATAAAATTGACAGAAGGACTCAAGGTAACATAGCCCTGAGATGAGTCTATAAATGACGGAAGGAGTCTGGAAGGGGACTACACCTGACGGAAGGAGTCTGGAAGGGGACTACACCTGACGGAAGGAGTCTGGAAGGGGACTACACCTGACGGAAGGAGTCTGGAAGGGGACTACACCTGACGGAAGGAGTCTGGAAGGGGACTACACCTGACGGGAGTCTGGAAGGGGACTACAATTGACGGAAGGAGTCTGGAAGGGGGGGACTACAATTGACGGAAGGAGTCTGGAAGGGGACTACAATTGACGGAAGGAGTCTGGAAGGGGACTACAATTGACGGAAGGAGTCTGGAAGGGGACTACAATTGACGGAAGGAGTCTGGAAGGGGACTACACCTGACGGAAGGAGTCTGGAAGGGGACTACAATTGACGGAAGGAGTCTGGAAGGGGGGGACTACAATTGACGGAAGGAGTCTGGAAGGGGACTACAATTGACGGAAGGAGTCTGGAAGGGGACTACACCTGACGGAAGGAGTCTGGAAGGGGACTACAATTGACGGAAGGAGTCTGGAAGGGGACTACAATTGACGGAAGGAGTCTGGAAGGGGACTACAATTGACGGAAGGAGTCTGGAAGGGGACTACAATTGACGGAAGGAGTCTGGAAGGGGACTACAATTGACGGAAGGAGTCTGGAAGGGGACTACAATTGACGGAAGGAGTCTGGAAGGGGACTACAATTGACGGAAGGAGTCTGGAAGGGGACTACAATTGACGGAAGGAGTCTGGAAGGGGACTACAATTGACGGAAGGAGTCTGGAAGGGGACTACAATTGACGGGAGGAGTCTGGAAGGGGACTACAATTGACGGGAGGAGTCTGGAAGGGGACTACAATTGACGGAAGGAGTCTGGAAGGGGACTACAATTGACGGAAGGAGTCTGGAAGGGGACTACAATTGACGGAAGGAGTCTGGAAGGGGACTATAAATGATGGGGACGACTCTGGGAAAGGACTATAAACAAACAATAGGATATCTTTTGGAGGGGGAGGAAACTACCAAAAAGGATAGGAGGAGTGTGGGAGGTGAATATAAACCGGAGGACAAATATAAATAACAGATTGACAAAGAAGAAACCCCTCAAAACGCAAAGTAACTTGGATCATTTCATAGATGTCCTACATTACATATCTGGATGACCACATTAGAAGGCATCAAAAAGGGCAGAATAGGTCTAGAACGTCTGTAGAAAATGAGATGACAGAAGTTGGGGTGGGGGGGCGACTATAAGCAATATAAATTTGAAAAGAAGTTAGGCGATGTGACTGACAAGAAGGTAAAATGAAGGGTAGGTGGAGAGACCAGGAAAATATGAAACATTTAATGTGCTGGGCAGATTAGAGATAATGAAGTAGGAAGTGCATGGAAAGGTGTATTATCTTTGTAGATCCAACAATATTACCTGATGTTCCATGACAACACGAGCAATGGCAGCTTGAACAACATTGGTCCTATCCAGGCAGTCCATACAGTTCACTCGAAAAATGCCTTCCTGCTTGCAGATGACTCCAGCCTGATCCACCCTACCCATAAAGTAGACATATGTAAGTATCCATCTCCACAAAGTCTCAGAATCAGAGTCTTACAATCTGCACACTCACCAACACCACTTCATGTCAGTTATGATATCACTGATGGCGTCAGTCAGCGTCTGCACATTCTCAAACTTCATCCCACGACTGATGACATGAAACACAACCAGAGAAGAGGTAAAGAGGAGCCCATCTGAACGACCATCTCAATATTACATAGTATCCCAGGCCATTTACTGAAGATGACCCATAATTCTCCATCAGGATCTGAAGTTCTAATATATTATCAGCAGCAATGACAAGGGGGCAGGGCCAGTCTGGTCTTATTGACCAGGTCTTGTGTGACTAGCATAGGGGGCCCCACAATCCTGAATATCCTTACTATGTTTTATTGGTGGTCAGTGTGTATAAAATGTTTTGCTTTTATTAATTCAGAATCAAAAAGTGTTAACACACTGAGCTCAGTAGCATAATGATAATAAACAAGACTAAGTGTAATACCCCAAAGAAAAGTCAACCTTTCACCCCTGAAAGTGCAATTATCAAAACCTTTTCTACATAACCTGTATACAATATTAATCTTCCTGTAAGTGACCAACGTGAGTCCAAAGTGTCCACAACAAATATAGTCCAAAATGTCCACAGCAATTATTATTCAATCTTCTGGGAAAATCCAGGATACCAGGACAGCTCCAGCAGCAAAGACTGACAACTTGGCAGAGAATTGTAAAAATCCAGATGATTTGAAGGCCACGGGTGATGGCTTGTAGTTGGTCACATACACGTTCAGATGCACATTAGGTAAGCGCAATATTAATAGCCAGAGGTCCCCTCTTATCCTGTGGAAGGTGCAGTTCACACTGGACAGGCTGTCCCACAATACTGGCGCCTCGAGAGATCTTCTCTACTGGTGGAAGCTGCGATGGGGGTCAGCTTATATGAGTCACTCTCCTCTGGGCCTCAGGGTGGTCACCATATGGTCCTGGGGGGTTAAATGCTTGATGTGGAGCAGAGAATAGTGGCCATAGTGTAGTAGGTCAAAATATAAATTCTTTTAATAATGGTTAAAAGTGATGCATAAATAAAAAGCAAATGGAGGCTATCGCCAATGAAATGTAGACAAAGCATGCAGCAAAACCGTTCATAAACCATTTAGAAAAACTGACCAGCTGGATAGTTATGGGGCCACCGGACCTCCTAGATCTGGTGGCGTGACGTTTCAGGTGTGTATGGCTCCTCCTTAACACGTTTCGCACACAAAGTGCATCCCTCAGAAGGGGTGATGCCAAGTTGTCAGTCTTTGCTGCTGGAGCTGTCCTGGTATCCTGGATTTTCCCAGAAGATTGAATAATAATTGCTGTGGACATTGTGGACTATATTTGTTGTGGACACTTTGGACTCACGTTGGTCACTTACAGGAAGATTAATGTTGTATACAGGTTATGTAGAAAAGATCAGTAGCACAATGGTTTATTATTTAAAGGATAAGTTCCCCTATTGTAAAAAAAATTTTTTAAAAAATTAAATATGTGCATTTTTTTCTCATTTTACACTGCAGTCTGTAAAGCATTGCACCCACAATCAGCAAATCACGGATACAATGCCAGGATCCTGCAGACTCTCAGCTGTTTGCCCGTACCTCCCGGGCAGACAGTTACTGAACTGCAGGAAGAATCAATGAACTACAAGGGCGCTCACCAGCGACTTCACTGTTCGTTGAGAACTACAAGCCGTCCGCCACTGTGGCAGATGGTACTTGTATTTCATTAATTCACAGAAAACTGAACTAATTACGTGGTTGTGAGGGTGGAGCCCTGTGAGGGGAGTGTGGGCAGGTGCTGTACTGTAACATGTTACATCCTAAATACAGGAGTAACAGGTTACAGGTGGTGAACTTATCTTTTAAAGTTCTGAATTTCTTTTGGGTTTCTAAATAATTACACACACACACACACAATATAAAAAGTCTACACACCCCTGTTAATTTGTCAGGTTTCTGTGATGTAGAAAAATGAGACAAAAGATAAATCATTTCAGAACTTTTTCCACCTTTAATGTGAACTAAACTGTACAACTCAGTTGAACAACAAACTGAAATATTTTAGATGGAGGGAAGTAAAAACAAAAAAAAACTAAAAAAATATGGTTGCATAAATGTGCACACCCTTAAACTAATACTTTGTTGAATCACCTTTTGATGTGATTCCAGCACTCAGTCTTTTTTGGGTATGAGTCTATCAGCATGGCACATCCTGACTTGACAATATTTGCCCACTCTTCCTTGCAAAAACACTCCAAATCTGTCAGATTGCGAGGGCATCTCCTGTGCACAGTCCTCTTCAGATCACCCCACAGATTTTTGATTGGATTCAGGTCTGGGCTCTGGCTGGGTCATTCCAAAACTTGAATCTTTTTCTGGTGAAGCCATTCCTTTGTTGATTTGGATGTATGCTTTGGGTCATTGTCATGCTGAAAGATGAAGTTCCTCTTCATGTTTAGCTTTCTAGCAGAAGCCTGAAGGTTTTGTGCCAATATTGACTGGTATTTGGAACTGTTCATAATTCCCTCTACCTTGACTAAGGCCCCCAGTTCCAGCTGAAGAAAAACAGCCCCAAAGCATGATGCTGCCACCACCATGCTTCACTGTGGGTATGGTGTTCTTTTGGTGATTCACAGTGCTGTTTTTGTGCTAAACATATCTTTTGTATTATGGAAATTTTAAAAAACTTCAACCTCAGTTTCATCAGACCATAACATAACACATTTTCCCCACATGCTTTTCGGAGACTTCAAATGTGTTTTTGCAAAATGTAGCCGGGCTTGGATGTTTTTCTTTGTAAGAAAAGGCTTCCATCTTGCCACTCTACCCCACAGCCCAGCATATCATGCTTTGGAAGCTCTTTGAGGACCATGGCTTTTGCTGTAGGATGCGACTAAGAAAATGTCAGGAAAGACCTACTAGAACAGCTAAACTTTATTTGGGGTTAATCAGAGGCACTTTAAATGATGGCAGGTGTGTACTGACTCCTATTTAACATGATTTTGAATGTGATTGCTAAATTCTGAACACAGCTACATCCCCAGTTATAAGAGGATGTGCACCCTTTTGCAACCACATTATTTTAGTGTTTTAGGTTTACTTCACCCCTAAAATATTTCAGTTTGTTTTTCAATTGAGTTGTACTGTTTATAGGTCACATTAAAGGTGGAAAAAGTTCTAAAATTATTTAGCTTTGTCTCATTTTTTTTTTACATCACAGAAACCTGACATTTTTTTTAACAGGGGTGTGTAGACTTTTTATATCCAATGTATACACACACACACAAATTATTAATATTGTAGCATTGATATAATAAATGATTTGGCTTCATGCCAATTTCTGCAAGAGGGCCATAAAGCATACATTCAGGCACAATTCTCCACCTGGGAGTGACGGGTGCAGTGTACAGACCACTGCAAGCAGCCTGTTAAAACCAATGAAATATGCAGCAGCTGTACACTGACATAAGCGTATCAGAGAGGTACTTCTGTACAGGGCAGCGCATACATCTGTGTATGCAAGTACTGCCCATGTGTGTGTATACCCGGCATACAGCCCTTACAAATTTCAGTCTGTCAGTGATTTTGATAGGCTGCTGGCAGCTGCCTGTTTGCTTCCCCTGTGACTCTCAGGCAGAGAACTGCACCCCTCTTAAGTGTACTTTTTTATGTATGTTTAATTACTAAGAAGCTCTGTGTATAAAATCCTACCAGGATGTGGCATGTAGCCAAGTCTCAGGCTCTAGTCATGGCTCAGGTTCTATGATTGTTGCCGTGTGAAATAAAAGTGCTTTATGGACTTCAGCTTGCATCTCTCGGAAGAACCCTAAAGCAGCTCCAGAAGGAATCAAAGTGTGGATCACAAAACTACAATATCATGTTAAGACCCGTATACTGTGTGGATATCTGGTCATCCTTGAGCAGTTCAGAGTAGCCCCCTGCTGAGTGACGTACAGAAATTTTCCAGTTCATTTCCAGCTGTGGAAAACCTTTTCCACTGCGGGTAGGTGAACCTGCCCTCATAAATGGAAAAGGATACAGCTCTTATATTTTTTGGACTTACAATTATTAAAACAAAAAAAAAAAAAAAAAAGAACTATGAAACGTAAGAGATGTACCCTGTGCCATTTATCAAACTAAAAAAAAAATAAAAATCCTACTTCTAGCTAATGCAGGGAATCCATCATATTTTTAGTACTAATCTGGTGACAAGACAAACCAGACCAGCAGCTGGAGAAAGCAGATGGGCATAATAGCCAAGCTCTACGTCAGTCTGTTTGATATTTATTAATAACCGTCTGAGTTAATGCTGCCACAGCTCAGTAATGTTGGCACTGTGCGGTGTAAGGGCCACACAAATCTGGCCTACAAGAGAGGAATACAATAAATCGGGAAGATGAACCTACCAATGTTCATGAAAGTCAAAGCTGATGTAGGTGAGATTGGGGCAATTAAACATCAGGACCTGCTTCAGGTAGGCATCGCCAATGATCTTCTCCCTACCAGCCTGGTCCACAAGATTAACGATAACCTGTCATGTACAAAGATCCACAAGAGGCCTGGTCATAAATACAAGAACACATCATCACTTGCATCCCAACCCTGAATGACAGAAAGACCTACCTGCTTCTTATAGATCTCAAGTTCTTTATTAAAGTGTAGGCAGAAATATGGGCTGGTGTCCTTCTCACCTAAAGGAAGGAATCAAACCAGACTGAACGCAACTTTCTGTACAATATACTGATCACTGGTGTAAAAAATATACAATTCAATAGTTTTAAATCAATATATAATAATAATAATATACTTCATAATATTATGACGTATATACCATTAGCTTGAGAGTAATACTAACACTTACAATTCAGGAGTGTATGAAACCCAAGAATCCACAGTACATACTGATTAACAGGACATAATATTCTGTCTCATATATACTGATCAGTGGAATAAAATAACACAATTCTTCCTCATTATAGATCACTGAAGGTTATAACACAATAAAACACTCATAGAATACCGATAATTGAAGCATTAAAAAATAAACTTTTTGACATATCCCGCATCTCTTAGAGTGTTAAAGTGTAACTAAAGGCAACACATTCTTTTTTTAGTTTTTTATTGGGTGGAGAGTGTCCATTTTTAATGTGGTGTGCACTTGTTAGGGAGATTCACCCTCTCTATTTGTCCTCTTTACCATTATCATTGAAAGTAAAAGAAATCCCAAATTTTCGGTTGACACCAGAACAGTAATAGAGGGGAAATCTTCCAATAGGGACGCTAGTTCTGGTGACCTTGGTGACACCCCTGTGATTCCCTCAGTTTGGAAAGATTTCCTTTCACTTCCTGTTTTGGCTTTGGGACAGGAAGTGAAGGGAAATCTCCCAATTGGGACACCTGCTGTCTCAATTAGAGCATGGCCATGTGGGGCTCTGCCCGCATTCATTCACAGCGTTTAGTGAACAAATTACAGTAGCGATGTATTGATACCACTTTTTTTTAGCAATGAGTACCGATACTTTTTTTTTTTTTAAAGTACTTGCCAATAAAAATTACTGACGATTAGGGAGATCATAATGAAGAGGAGGAGCAGCAGGGATGGGGTGCAGAGGTCAGGATGAGAGTGGGGTGTGGGTGTAGGGTGAGAGAAAGACAAAGGGGCAAAAGCGTGCGGGGGGGGAGAGGGGGGTCCAAGATAGAGAAACAGTAGCAAGAGAGGGAGAAAAAAAAAAGAAAAAAAAGGGAGGATTCTCTATGGCACTACATACCCAGCATGGCAGACGCCAAAGGGTTGACACTACAGCCTGTCGGAGATTATTACTGTATATATACACACACACACACACACGGGGGAGATAGAGAGAGAGAAGGAGGGGGAGAGAGAAGGAGGGGGGGGAGAGAAGGAGGGGGAGAGAAGGAGGGGGAGAGAAGGAGGGGGAGAGAAGGAGGGGGGGGAGAAGGAGGGGGAGAGGAGGGAGGGGGAGAGAAGGGAGGGGGGGGGAGGGAGGGAGAGGGAGGGAGGGGAGGGAGAGGGGAGGGAGAGAGAGGGAGGGGAGAGAGACAGAGAGGGGGGGAGATGGGGAAGGGGGGAGAGAGAGAGAGAGAGAGAGAGAGAGATACACACATACATATACTGTATATAGGCAGTACAGGGTTAACAATGGTCCTGATTACAATGCAGCTGTGGCCCAGTCCACACTCACAGGGCAGCGCAGGGTCAAACCATGGGGGTCAGTCTAGCCCAGTGTTTCTCAACTCCAGTCCTCATGGACCCCCAACAGGTCATGTTTTCAGGATTTCCATTATTTTGCACAGGTGATTTGATCAGTTTCACTGCCTTAGTAATTACCGCAGCTGTTTCATCTGAGGGAAATCCTGAAAACATGACCTGTTGGGGGTCCATGAGGACTGGAGTTGAGAAACACTGGTCTAGCCTGATTAGCCAGTGTGTCTCCTCTCCCTGCAGGCAGTACATTAAACACTGGACTCCTAATTGCAGCCTCAGCCAGCCTGGGGGGGGGGGGGGGGGGGGGGTAGCACAGGGTTAAACCCAAGTTCCTCATTAGCCAATCAGCATGCTTCTCTCCCTGTGGAGGGAGGAGGGGAGCTCTGAGGCCAGAGAGAAGAAAGTCTTCACTGGGCTGAGAAAGGCACCCAGGCTGTTCCTCATTCCATGCATAGCAAAGTGTACAGGTGAAGAGTCGCTCCTCATGCCCATTTAATTACACTTCAGCTGTCAGCAGGACCCGGAGGCCTGGTCCTTAATAACCACTAATTGCCGGCATTCTTTTTTTCACATTTCCACTGTAAGCTATGGAATCTCGCTGACAGCTGCAAGAACCAAAACTAAAAAGATATCAGTTTCAGGTATCGGTGCATTTGCAGGAGTACCAATACTTGTGCAAATGTCTAGTATCGGCACAGGTATCGGTGTAACCCTATTTTACAGGATGTAGAGTAAAAAAAAATAAATAAAAATTATAATAAATTTTTTTTGCCTGCAAACAGATTTTTTTTTTTTTTTTTTTTTCTACAAAAAGGTGAACTTAGCCCTTAAGGATGAAATAAATAGTTGTGCTCCCTCTGCCATCCATTGCCTCTGGAGCAGCTGCACTACTGAGAAGTGAAGAAGGTGGGTCCATTCACAGTACAGAATATACACGCAGCACAGATTGTCCATGGTGCAGACACCACACATTGAACAGACCTTGCATGGCACGCAGAGCACCCATCTGAGGTGACTCAGCCTTTTATTAGGCACCTTCCAAGATTCCATGACATGTACCTTTATCTAGGCGAGGACGCGGATTATAGCGATACCCCACTTGGCTCCAGAAGACTGGCACAGAGCCACGGGTCTGTACAAAGGAGAGTGTGTGATTGTGGACGTGGATGAACTGCTCTGTTTCCACATAGTTTGCCACATTCCCAGCTTTATCCACTCCACGACGCTTGTATCTCATTCCTAGAAGAAGAAAGAATCTTTATATACACCTACTGACAACACATCCCCTACCATCGCCCCCCACAAGACATTTCCCCCCTCATCAGCCCCATAGAGATCCCCCCTCCCTCACTGACAAACACCCCCCCCCCCCCCCCCCCCCACATCCCTTCTCCCACAAAGGCATCTCCCCCATCGCCTACCATAAACACTCCCACTCTTTCCTCAATGGCAACACTCCACTGACATTATTATTATTATACAGGATTTATATTATTATTATTATACAGGATTTATATTATTATTATACAGGATTTATATTATTATTATTATACAGGATTTATATTATTATTATACAGGATTTATATTATTATTATACAGGATTTATATTATTATTATTATTATACAGGATTTATATTATTATACAGGATTTATATTATTATTATTATACAGGATTTATATAGCGCCAACAGTTTGCTCAGCACTTTACAATATAAAGGGAGACAATACAGCAACAATACAGTTCAATACAAGAGGGATAGGAGGGCCTGATCCTTGGAGCTTTCAATCTAGGACATCTTCCCCTTTTCATTGGTGATGCCCCACAGAGGTTTGCACCCCTCTTCACCAGCAATGCCCCAGAGAGACATCTTCCCCATTCACCAGTAAGACATAAGTTGCAATTGTGTGGTATCATTACAAGTAGTCATTACAACTCAAACCATTCATGCTGCTACATGCATTCACCGTGAGGTCATCACAGAGGACAAGGGGGCACTCTTTATGTCTGGAGGAAAAGAAATGTAATCTCCAAACACAGAAAGGTTTCTTCACAGTGAGAGCTGTGAAAATGTGGAATAGACTCCCTCAAGAGTTGGTTCTGGCCAGCTCAGTGGATTGCTTTAAAAAAGTCCTGGATTCTTTCTTAGATACACAGAATATAACTGGATATAACATTTATAGGTAAAGTTGATCCAGGGAATATCCGATTGCCTCTCAAGGGGAACAGGAAGGAATTTTTTTCCCTGCAGGAGCAAATTAGATCGTGCTTTTCTGGGTTTTTTTTCCTTCCTCTGGATCAACTGTGGGTGTAGGATTATAACTTTTTTTTTTTTTAATGGTTGAACTGGATGGACTTTTGTCTTTTTTCAGCCAGACTAACTATGTAACTCTGCAGCATGAATCATCAGAGTTGTGAGGTTACAGGAAGTTATTCCTCCATAAAGTGCAGTGACTGACCAAGCAGATGGAACCCATCCAACAAAGAAAGTTGGAAAGTACAATCACCACATCAACACAGCAATATTTCCATCTTCTCGTGACACACCCCACAGAAAAAAAAACTCCCCCCTCCCCCACCCAGCACTGACACCCCACAGAGACTTATACCCCCACTACTGACACCCTACAAAGACATAACCCCTTCCACTAGACACACACCAAAGAGACTAAAACCCCTTTGCCAGGACGTCCTGACCAAAAATATCCCCCACACACCCGCAACACCCAACAGAGACTTCTTCCCCACCAGCAGCACACCAAAAAGACATCTCTCTACCCGCCTGCTAAAAGTACCCCACAGACAAATTTTCAACCACAGGAAACACAGGGACATCACGTTGAATCACAGGGCCCCAAGCAGACTCAACCCCTCCCACCTGTGATAGTGACGTAAGGCTTACCTGCTCTATCACGGCTCCTTCTGGAAATGAGGGCCACCAGGAATCGGGGGTGTATGTCATCCACACACATGTTTTCCTGAGGAGGGGTCTCTGGGCTGCTCTTCTCATCATCTGAAGACTCGTTATAGTTCACCACCAGCTCCTCTATCTGCACAAAGCCCTGTATGATGGGCAGGATCCAGTATCCTCCCTGCTGGTCCTACACATATGAAATATATGACTACAAGCTCTCTGCACTGGTCTGACACACAATACACCTCCTAATCCTATACAGACACTCAAATCCACAGTATTTATAAATCTCTATGCACAGGTCATAGTATGATGTTCACAAAATGTATTTCATATAGTCTGCATACAGATAGGTTAGATAAACAAACCTACGCATTTACGCATTTACGTCAAGTTTGGGAACTTTTGATTGAATAAATGTTTTGCCAATTTTTTTTTTTTTTTTTTTTTTTTTAGTAAAAAAGACAAATTAATAAGTGCTGAATTTAAGAGGCTGGAAAAAGACAACATGTGGCACATGCAGAAGTTTAGCACCTTTCCATTGGATACACTAC